GTCCCTATTCCCTATTGGCAATTTGGGTAACCCCTTCAGAGGATGGCGTTATAAGAATGGGAGGCAGGAATTGGCTAGGCGGTTAGGGTAAAAAGATCCCAAAGAAATGTAGCCAGTTTCTTGCCGAAAAGTCAAAATATCCTTGGGCCTGTTAGCAACATACTCTGTTCCAAAGGCCAAAAAATGTCAAAAAGATTTGGGAGCTTGTATGTAATCCTTAAAAGATTTTAGGGTTACCTCTTCAGAGGGGGGGAATGTTGAAGGGGAGGGAGTAGGCATGGATTTGATCAAAATCCATGAAATTATATGCATGTATGAAATTCTCAATAAAGTCTTTGTAAAAGTTTTTTAAAAAACGGGCCGTGGATCTGAACAGAGAGCTCTCAAAAGAAGAAATAAAAATGGCTAAGAAACACCATAAAATTGTTCACCATCCTTAGTAGTTAGGGAAATGTAAATCAAAACCACTTTAAGATTTCATCTAACCCCTATCAGAATCGCTAGGATCAAGAGAACAAATGGCACCAAATGCTGGTGTGGATGCGGGAAAGGGGACCCCTCATCCACTGTCGGTAAGATTGCAAACTGGTGCAACCACTATGGAAATCAGTACTGGGAAAGTGTTAAAAATCTAAAAATAAGTCTACCACATGATCTGGTTATACCACTCCTTGGCATTATATCCAAAGGACTCATCCTACTACAGAGACACTTGCACTATCCTGTTTGTTGCTGCTCTTTTTCACAATAGCTAAGAAAAGGAAACAACCTAAATGCCCCTCAACAGATGAACGGATAATGAAAAGGTAGTACATTTATAAAATAGAGTTCTGCTTAGTGGTAAAGAAAGACTAAGTTATGAAATTTGCAGGTAAATGAATGGAACTAGAAACTGTTGTACTAAGTGAAGTAACACAGACTCAGAAAAGCAACTGATGCATGTTCTCATTTGTGGACCTTAGCTTAGCTCCAAATCCTAACACGTGAGTATATACCTTGATATAATCACAGAAACCTGGAAAATGGAAGGTAACCATGGTGATGAAGGGAAAGAAGGGACTCAAGAAAGGGGGATAGTAGGAGACAGGTGTTAGCAAGGGAGAAATGGGGAAAAGGGGGGCACTTTAACTGGGGAGGGAGTTATACAGGGAGAGGAGGAGATTGGTAATGCTTAGATGGTGTGAAAAACCAAAGGGAAATATATTAGTGCAAATCCTACTGAAAAATACACATACTACTTATATATGTATAATACACACACATACACACACACACACACATACACATACACTGACAAGCAGGAGAAACCTCCCCTTGAGTTATTGGTCAGGGTAGTTAAAGAGACTCCCCAAAATAACACAGGTTATTACCACAACCCTGATTGCCTCCCCAAACTTGAAGATAAGACCCTATTGCTGAAGACAGGATTCTACACTTCAGACACAGACAGTCTTGGGGCAATTGAGATGGAACTGACTTGGAAGCCTCCTCCTTGAAGACTAACTCCCATGGTATCAGAAGATACTATGCAAGCTTCCAAGGGAGAATCAGTGAATGGTCATTCCCAACTGTAAAGACTGATAACAACGAATGACCCAGGAAAATATTGCTATTGGTGCAGTAGTGGCACTTTTATCTTGGAGGCAATCAACAGCTGTCTAATTGGAATTAGGGTTCCTCAATAGGAGAGAACGTATGTGTTGTACTGTAAAGATAGTCAAATACACATGATAGATCAAAATCCTACTTTTGCCACATCCCTAGACCAACATAATTTCTTACTGTAATCTAAATGCTTATATTTAATGTAAATACTTATATTTACAGACAAGTATAACTCTCACTACTCATCCAAAAAAAACCTGTTTTTGGAACAGATGAAAACTAACAAACAACTGGTCAAACTCAGAGAACTGTCCATGGGACACAGCCCTATGAGGCACATTTTCAATGCAACCGTTACACATAAGATGAATGCATCTTTCATCTCTCACAAAAGAGAAGTCCTTATGCAGCAGATGGTGAATAACACAGAAACCCACATTAGCCAATGTGCAGAGAAACAAGAAGCTGCAGATTGCTTATCCCTGAATAGGACACCTATATGTAACTTTTGTCTCTCAAGTCTCAGGGATCAATGTGGAAGAGGAGACAGACAGATTGTAAGAACCAGTAGTGATGGATGACCACAAGGAAATGATTTTCTCCAGACAGCTGGTCAGTTGCTCATATGAACTCACAGCAATGGTGGCAGCATGTACAAGCCCCATGCAAACTCAAATCAGACAAAATCCCAGCATAGACATGAGAAAGTGGATAAGAAACCCCAATCTAACCCGACAACTGATGGCTGCCTGGAATGGGAGGGGAGACACAGTCTCTCACAGGGAAGGGACTCTTTATATTTTTTTTTTTGGTCTTTTTTTTTTTTTTAATGTGTATGAATATATTGCCTGCATGTATGTAAGTGCAGCTGTGTCATGCAATGCCAGCAGAGGTCAGAAGAGGGTGTCAGAGTCCCTGTAAGTGGAGTTACAGAAGGTTGTTAGCCACCATGTAAGTACTGGGAACTGAACCTGGGTCTTTTGCAAGAGAAGCCAGTGCTTTTAACAGTGGAGCCTTCTCTCCAACCCCCCTTTTTGGTCCTTTTTGACACAAGGTCTCTGTCTTAGTTTGTTTCTCCACTGCTGTGACAAAACACTCTGACCACTACCAACTAACTACTTTCCCCTCTGTTTCTGCTGTGTGACTTTTGCAGTGTAGTGTTGTTGGAACCAGGTATCTGTTTATAGCAAAACTGTACTTCCTTGAACAAATCTCTGCTGCTTATTTTTTCTTTTAAATTTAAGTTTGTTTATGTGTTCCACCAGATTTACAAAATCTAGTGAATGGATGGTAGCAATGGTGTCTTCCCTTTGGTGCAGGGGCTTTGCTGTGCAGCGCTGCTCCCAACTTCTCGAGATCCCTACTGGCAGCTGGCCTGTTCTAAGTTCACGTGCACCACCGATTGAGTGAATTTTCTACATTACAATTTTCTGCCCAGGGGTGGCACCACCCACAGTGGGCTGGGCCCTCCCACATCACTCAACAATCAAGAAGATACCCCATGGACATGGCCACAGGCCAGTTCAATGAAGGCAATCCCCCAATTGAGGTGCCCTCAACCCAACCCAGGTGTGCCAAGTTGACACTAAAGCTATCCAGAACAGTCTCCCTGAGCCCCAGCTGGCCCAGAACTCTCTATGTAGACCAGGCTGACTTAGATTTCACAGAGATCTCCCTGCCTCTACCTCCTGAATGCTAGGATTAAAGGCATGCACCAACACACCTGAGGAGATGAGACCTTTGTAAGTAGGCCAGGGTCCAGTGGATGGACCCATGCTGAGGGACATGTGAGGACATAAATCTGACTCTATAGACCATAATGTGTGTGTGTGTGTGTGTGTGTGTGTGTGTGCACATACATATCGTGGATTACATTGAATTGGTTGGGGGCAGTTGGGGGATGTGCAGATGGGGGAGAAGATCTAAATACCATCAAATTATATTGTATAAAAATCACAAAAATTCAATTTAAAAATGTAAAAAGATACCACTTCCAGTTGAGAGACCTTCATAGGTATCAACCTTTGAAATAAACTTTCCTGGAATTATCTAGTTAAAAACTTCAGAAACATTTGAAACATTATTTTTGGAGTTTTTTTTCTCTTCTTGTCATGTATTTTATAATGTACCAGTGTTTAAAATATTATTGAGCCTTTAATAATGAAGATAGTTAACTTCTACTATCATAAAGTGAGACTATATGCAAAGCTCTTTATAAACTCTAAAACCTGAATAAATGTTAAACAATTGTTTATTAGGTCAATTGATGATAACCAGGGCATTATACAAGATAACAAAATTTACTCATAATATTTCATATTGTCATCTCGGGCATTATTAACAGTATCAGTACACAGAGTTACACAAGTATGGATGCAATGCTAAAGCCCACAAATGTGATGCATGGAGGATATTTTGGTCATAAAGTGGCATAAATTTTCTGAAGCAGAATGAAAATAGACACAACACACACAATTATTTTTATGACTGCATCTGCATAAAAGTCCTTGAGTCCTATTTAGCCTAATTACTTAGTAAATATACTCTAACTCACAGCTTCCATATTCCACATCACCAACAAAGTGGGAGACTTGAATTTGCCACCAAGAGCAAAATGAGCTAGATTTTCGAAGAGATGACATGCTGTTCCATCTGTTGGGAGCAGTAAGAATGTCAGAATAGTCTCTGAGTGCTAGAAACTAAAAGGTTCTACCAATCCAAATAGGGCTTCTGGGCTGCCAGTCCCACATATGAAATAAACAAACTCAAACCCAAGTATATTTAAGAGATACAAATTGTCCATCAACCCACACATCATTAGCTCAAACACTGCATTTTAGATTTCAACAATTTAGGAGAAGAAACAATACAAAATAATGTAATTTTTTATTCAAGATTTGCTCCATACCTGCAGGATTTAAACAATTTAAACTGATTGTATTTTCCATGGGGCATCTTTTCCCTTCTTTAACACTTTTGAGGATCTCATACTCTGTAGACTGATTTCTCAACATTTCTTCTTTTAAATACATCTTATTTTTCAAGATGTGGTTTTCTTGAGTACAGTTTTTCAAATCTTCCTCAATTTGATGTTTTTGTTGACGGTGCTGAAAAACTAAAATTAGTGGTAGATATATCACAAAGCAGTACTCTTAAGAAGTAGATATTGAAATTTAAGACAAAAGAAAAAGCCTTATGCTGACAATAAGCACATCATTATTTTAATTAGTACTTTGGCTTGTATAAAAAACAGTACTTTCATTAACCGACTTGATTACAGAAATGGAAACATCAAATCTCCATCAGCAAAA